GCCCGACGCGGGGCTCGAACTCACGGACCGCGAGATCGTGACCTGGCTGAAGTCGGACGCTTAACCGACTGCGCCACCCAGGCGCCCCTATTTATTATTTTGAGAGCAAAACGCCGCACTACGTCATGATTGTGAAAGCTATTACTTTTACGAAGAAAATCGTAACTAAGAGCTTTACAGGTTAAAAAGGGACATAGACTGATGGTTCGTACAAGTATTAAGACAGCGTGTTTGGGGCGCGTGGGTGGCTCAGCTGGTGAAGCGTCCGACTTCGGCTCGGGTCATGATCTCGTGGTTGGTGAGTTCGAGCCTCGCGTCGGGCTCTGTGCTGACAGCTCGGAACCTGGAGCCCGCTTCGGATTCTGTGTCTCCCTCTCTCTCTGCCCCTCCCCTGCTCACGCTCTGTCTCTCTCTGTCCCAAAAATAAATAAAAACATTTAAAAAAATTTAAAAAAGAAAAGACAGCGTGTTTGCTTGATAATTTCAGGAGGACTATTACAGATAGAGCTTATTAGATTTAAATAACAGTAAAAGGCGGAAAATAGAGATTTCGTTGTATTACAATTCTAATCTCTGTAGAAATTCGAGAGTATTAGCATTCCTCACACAGGACAGAATCTCTTTGAAGGATGCGGTTTCATTTTTGAATTCCTTTTAGGCCACAGATCCTTCAAGCAAAGAACCTGTTGGAGATTTGCTCACATCTTGGGAGAGCAATTAGAAGCAAAATGCCAACTTCCGCCATGCCCAGATTTCCCAGAGGGTGAAGTTCAAAATGCAGCGCGAGCGGGTGTCTTTGAGGCAGACGATGTAAAGGGGAAGAAGAGGGCGGGGAGGACGGAGAGCTGGGATTACAGGGACTCCAGGCACAGCTGGTTCTATTCTTTCACTCTCAACACAGGAGGCTTGATGCGAATCCCTTAGGATGCTACTCCTCGGTCGGTCGTTTCGAGTCTTTGGAGGCTAAGATTGAAACAAAAATCTTGCGGAAACCACAGCCCCAGGGCGCCGGCCCAGAAGTTGCAGATGAGGCTTTCAGGATAAGCCTAAGCCATCAATCCTGAGTACGGAGTTCTTTTTGGAAACAGATTGCCAGGAACTTTGACCTGACCTATGTTCTCCTGTGCACCGGAAGGTCAGGGTCACCTCCAAATGGCTGGTTGAACAGGAATGTGCGTTGAGGATCATGGGGCGTCAGAGGGGACACCCAGAGTGACCTGACATCAGCAGTGTTGAGGGCCTGTTGTTAGTGCCTAGCACTTAAAGCTTGGAGACTCACATTTATAATAAAGTTGTAGTGAGGTTTGGCTTCTGGTGAATAGCTTTTCAGTTTCTTCTTGGATCCCAGAAACTTGTTCTAGCACGGCAATGCTCGACTCGGACCCTGGGGGTCCTCAGGACCCTGGGCTCTGCTTCTGGGGAACGTCAGCAGAGCGGCGAGGGCAGGAGGGAACTCCAGGCCCTCAGGGGCCAGGCTCAGGGCACAGACCGGCAGATGCCATCTGGTCCCCACATTTTACAGCCTGGGAGGCTTCAAAGTGAGGCTAAAGACAGCAAGAGGCACCCCAGGGTGACACAGCCAGGTGGAGGCCCAGTCAAGGTGGGAGCTCTCGAGCTCGGCTCTGGTCCCGGTGAGGGCTTCCTGGGGCGAGGGCGGCCACCCAACAGCCCAAGTTCGCACTCCAGCCTTGGGGCCCAGCGAACAGATCATGGCCCCTTCTTGCGACACATCGGGTCCTGTTTCCAACCATCATTCTTTTGGCTCGGCATCTATTGTGAGCTCATTATCTGTGAATCCACCCGGACTCACCTCCATGCACCTGCTCGACTATAAGGAGACCCCAGGTTGGCTTTCCTGCATGGGGATGGCTCCATCTCTGTGTGCCGCCCAAGCGGTCAAACGCTCAATCCTTTCCCCCCTTTCCATCCGGTTCCCCTTCCTGACATGTCATATTCTACCAAGGACGCTGCGTGTTCTGATATGGGGCAGCTCCCCGCCTGACCCCAACCCCACCAAAACCAGGACTGCACTTTCTCAGAGAGAAACTGAGAGAGACATCGAAAGCCAGCCAGGCAAATGGGAGGGCGATGAAGTTGGGTTAGAGAGTCACCCACTCCAGAGCGGTAAATGGATTGCACCCCGAATCCACTTCCTGGAGTTTAAATGGTTTTTTTTTTAATGTTTATTTATTTATTTTTGAGAGAGAGAGAGAGAGAGAAAGAGAGAGAGAGAGAGAAAGCAGGGGAGGGGCAGGGAGAGAGGGAGAGAGAGAATTCCAAGCAGGCTCCGCACTGTCAACACGGAGCCCGATGTGGGGCTCGAACCCACAAACCGTGAGATCGTGACCTGAGGCGAAACAAAGAGTCGGACACTTCGCCCACTGAGCCAGCCTGGCGCCCCTCACGGAGTTTATTAGGATAAGTAGCTGGGAGGTCTCTCCCCTCCGGGCTGGCTCGTAACAATTCTGGGGACAGGAGGTCTCGGCTTAGAGCCCAGCTCCCTCCGGGGCTGTCTGAGGACCTCCACCCTGCTGGCACTGCATTCCTGGTCTGTCTACACTGTCCCCAAACTCGCCGTGGTGTCTCAAAGACCCACGGCCCTTCTGTTTCACAGAATTTACCCTCGTTAATGCAACTGTGGTTTCAAACCGCACCCCTCCCCTGACAATTCTAACACATACGCACGAGCGAAGGGTTTTGGTTTACAGCGAACACATTTTATTGCAATTTTTTTTTCAGCTAACAGTATCTGCACATCTCGAAATTCACATCTTGGACTTCTTTCTAACCCACGCAGGCCTGACTGCCATGTTCATCTGTAACACAGGATTCCGCGTTAGAATATCCTGAAGTCTTGTTGTTAATTTCACCATTGGTGAATTATATACGCTGTTTAGAATTCCTTTCCCCCTGACCACAAACACTTTTGTGATGAACAGGGATTTGGGAATAAAGGTTACAAGGACATCGGGTTGGCCGCTTGTTTAAAAAACATTATGAAGCTAGAACATTCCAAGTATCTCAGGCACTTTCTAGATCATAAAAGTAGCATTTCGGTCGGATGGGCGAAGAACGGGTGTTTCGGCAAACGATGGAAAAACACCCAGGCCACTCGTTTGGTGCAAACATACAGGCAGTTCTCCCCTTCGCACGCATCCCCTCCAAAGTCATTACGATTTGATGCGAAAAGCTTGAAACTCAGAAAGTACTGGTGAAAATATAAATTAGGACAAACGTGATTTCGAAGTGGCGAAGGCTTTTGTAAATTTGACGTCAAAAGTGGAGCCGGCGACTCTAACCCGAAATGCGGAAAAGTCGACATCGTGTACGTCTACGGGCCTCCCATACGAAACGAAAAGACACACTACAAACTAGGGGGGAAAAAATGTGCACCGTCCGTGAAAGATCGCATGTAAACAGTTTTAAAAACTTAATCAGGAAAGGATGAACACCCAACAGAGCAAAGTCCTAAGTGGGCTAGCCCCGTAAAACAAAATAGGAGTGCCCAAAAAATACGAAAACGTGCAACCTGATAGCTATCAAATAATGCAAATTTAAATGATTTAATGCCTTTTTTTGTTTTTGCATATCAGAAAGGCACAGATCTTTAAGAAGCCATAATCCTCCATGGAGGCCCAGACATAGATCAAAAGCCCCTCGTCCATGGCCAGCGGGGGTGGGGACCGTAAGGGCTTTCTGGAGGGAGGGCAGGAGGGCCACGTTGACTATAAGCCCCAAAGTGTACAAGGCTTTGATCGTTTTCCTCTTTTTCCTTTGCTGAACAGTTTTTCCCAAAATTTCTAGAGTGTGTGTGGGTTCAGGACTCCCCTCTGCTTCTGAATTTCTGCAGGCCCCACCAGCCCGGGTGTAGAAGGGAGACTGCTGTGGCCAGCAGGCAGCTGGGACATTCCTCACTTGGGCGGGTGGCCCCTACTTGAGGCAGGGGCCTGCATCCCGACCTCCCCAGTCATAGCGGTGGGCCCAGCAGGGGCTCCCACGGGCTCAGAACAACTCTTCTCTTGCCCCATGGCTTGGTGTGACAGCCATCAGGGCTGGTATTTTGCCACAGTGCCTGGGGCCGCAGTGCCAGCCATGAGCAGGCGGGTCCTACACTGCTCTTCCCCACCTCACCCCTCCCCCAGGACCCTCACGGGGTCGGGGGTCTCTTCCCTCCCCATGGGGGAAACGCACGCATTCGCGCCTACCAGGGCCAGGCTGCAGACACAAGTCCTTAACGCAACCGGACATGTCAACGTCAGAACAGGCTCTGACCGAGACATGCCCTCTCAGGATGGGCTTAGCTCGGACCTCAAGCTCACTCGAATGATAAGTCAGTGGAAAAAGAAAGAAGACAGTGGCAAAAGCAAGGAAATCTGGGGAAAAAAAAAAAAAAGTGGGTAAACGGAGTGAGTATAGAGAGAGCGCTAACAGTCTGGAGCTTAAGATTAAGTTAACAGGACAGAAAAATGTGTGTGTGTGTGTGTGTGTGTGTGTCTGAGAGAGAGATCGGGAGGCGTTGGGGGCAGAATTCCTTGGCCGAAGGTCAAGTGAGAAGGTAGGAGGTCGACTAACTTCCAGGTCATCTGTTCCAACACGGAAGCTTCTCCTGGGCTTTGCGGAAGGGACTGTGGGAGGGGCCGGGAGGTGGCGGGAGGGCAGGTGGACCACACCCCCCCCCCCCCCCCCCCCCGGGATCTGGGGTGGCTCAGCACACCTCCCCCGGCCTGCTGACATCCCAGGGGGGCAGCGACAAGTAGTCCTGCTGTTTTAGGGCTTTGAAATGCCTGACGGCCGGCACCTGGGGAATGGCGGGGCGCAGGGCCTTCTTGTCCTGGAACATGTGGTCGTGGTCCCCGATCTCAGGACAGGGTCCTGGGGAAGAGGGTGAGAGAGGGCCAGGTCCCAGGCCAGGCAGGAAGCAGTAGTCGCCCACTTGCTGCAGGACCAGGAGCCCCTCGGGGTGTGGGGGGCTGGGGGCCGCCTCCCCTGGGCTCAGGATGGGGCTGCTGGCTGCAGGAGGGGCAGGACTGCCCAGAGGGGACTTGGGGGGCTGGCCTGGGGTCAGAGGGATGTCCACATAGCCCTCGATTTCTGGCTTCGTGGGGGCTGGGACGCTACAGAGCCTACGGGCCGGTCCAAGACTGAGGCCGTGGTTCCGGTCTGAGGGCAGGTCCAGGGGGTGGACCTTGGAGGCAGATGGCAGCCCCGGGGGCCAGGGAAGTGCCAGGTCTGCGGTGGTGACGTAGCCAGAGGCCGTGACGCCGTCCTCAGGGTCCCCAGAGCCAGTGGGCAGAGCCGTGAGGGCCCTGTCCTTTGGGCCCTGACCGCCCACCATCAGCCTGTATACAGGAGAGGCAAGGCCTGCCCCTGACTCCGGTGAGGGGTTCCCTTCGGCCTCCGGGCCGGGGTTCCTCTCCAAATCCTTGGCCCGGCCCTGTGCCATCACCTGGGCCAGTGGAACCAGCTGCACCTGCCCTCCCGCGGGCAGACACAGGTACTCCAGGGACCCCGGAGGCTGTGGCTTCTGGCTCACGCCCCTCTGTGGGGGCTCCGGGGGGCCCGTCACGTCAGGCAGGGAGTGGCTGCGGGGTAGGCCCAGGTAGGGGCCGTTGAAGTCGAAGCCGGAGACCCGGCTCTCGGGCCTGCCCGCGGGGGCCGACAGGCCTGGATGGGGGCTGGGGGGCCGCTCCGTGCACGGGTCCGAAGTGGCTGAAGCTGTGTCAGGCTCACATGGTGATCCGTGCACATCTTTCGGGTCCTCTGTGGTGAGAGGTGACACTTCGCTGTGCCTGCAGTCTACGGGAAACACCCTGCGGGGACAGGGACGTTGGGGTCCCCTGGGCAGCCACTTCAGCTCATGCTGGGGCTAGGGGCCGGGGTCGGGGGGAGGTCTGGCCCCACCCGGAGCTCAGGGAGAGCACAGAGCAGGGCAAGGTGAGGGAGCGGGCCCGGAGAGGACATCGGGTGGCCCTCGTGGGTCTCGCCCGCCAGCCTCCATGTTCTTGTTCAAGCTCTTCCCCTGCCAGGTGTGGTCCCCTCACCCCAGGTTCCTTGATATCCACCCAGCTTCGGGGACCAGGGCTCGGTCAGGCCCTCGTCCCTTCATCCCCCACCGTGCCATCAGCACCCCAGTGTGGGGTCTGCCTGGCCAGTAGGGCAGGGAGAGGTCATTGCTCCGGTCTTCCGCGTCTGGCCAAGTCCAAGGTATGGCCCTCCCTAACCTGGGAACCAGGAAAGTCTTCCGGATGTCTGACGGGTATGTCTTTTGCTTTAGAGCCACTGACCCCCACGGATCTCTCTATACTGAGCCACAGGCCAGAGGCCACCTCCTCTGAGCCTCCAGGGTGCACGATGGGGCCACCCTCCCACCTCCTAGGGACCCTGTGCCCAGACACTCACCCCTCCATTTCAGGGAAGTAGCTGCCTCTCGGCCCCTTGTGCAAGGGGCTCCTGATGGTGAGTACCGCCATGCTGCCTGGGAGCCCGAGTCCGGCACTCCCGTTCTGGAAAGAGAAAGGACACTTGTGCCGTGGCTGTGTGGGAGCCCGAGAAGCTGAAGGTGGGGGGTGGGGGTGGGGCGAGGAAGCCAGGGCATGACAGGGGATAAAGCGAGCCCCGCAGACACGGAAGGAGTCTCAGCAAGGTCAGGACCAGCCGGGCCACCTGACACCAGGAAGGAGAAGCCCAGAGAGGGGCTGGGACTTCCCATGGGCCCTCGAGCGTCTGAGGATGGGGACCCTCTTCTTGCAAGTTCACTAATCTGGGGTGTCACTGCCTCCACACTCACACCCTACTTTCCCCCACAGTAGCCATGAGGACCCCCCTGCCACCGGGCAAGCTGGCCCTGCTGGACCAAAGGGCTCCTGTGACCCACGTGCCGCCGCCTGCCTTGCGTCCATCTCAGCATCTGGGATGTGCCCCCAGCCTCGCTGCCTGCCCCCCTCGGCTCCTTTTATGAGGGGGGTCCCGTGCCCACCCTCCACAGGCCTTCTGTCTGCGGTGGCCTTTCCCACCTGGCCCCACCCTGGCTCCTTCAAAGCTCAGCTCTGCTGTCCCATCCTCAGGGAAGCCATTCTGCCTCTTGTGAGCCCACCTGCCCCCGTGGAACTGAGCCCCTCCCCGAGGCCACCCCGACTCCCGCCTCCGGCTCCGGCTCCGAGGGAGCCCTGCACCCTGGGCCAGCCCTGGGAGCCTGCAGGTGCCCAGAGGATTGCAGAGCTGAACCTGCCAGGGCTGGCCTGCCTCTTAGAGCTTCCTGGCACCTTCCCGGGCCACCTCGGCATCACACTCAAAGCCACAGGAAGGCGGGGAAGACATAGGGACGGGGACGTGGCTGCAGGAGTGAGGCGCCCCTACCACCCTGGCCGCCTTCGCGGTCGGCTCCTACCTGGAACAGGTGGCTCTTGCTGGGGTTTGGGATTTTCTCCTCCCACTTCCGGTTCAGCCTAGAGAGACACCAGGGAGGTGACCGCTGCCAGAGGCCCCATGCTCTCCCACGTGCAGAGAGGAAACTGAGGCCCAGGGAGAAGGTGGGAGGTGGCCAAGGCTTCCCAGGGAGCGGGTGCGGAGTGGGGACTAGAGGGAGCCAGTTGTGGGGTCCCTGGCACCCCCTGGGCTCCTGAGTACCCCTCCCACCCATCATAGAGTCCCCTTACCTGTACCCATAGATGCCACAGAAGCGCAGGACAGGGAGCAAGGCCAGCGTGGTGAACACCAGGATGAGAGCCAGGACCCACGTGGGCAGGACTTCCGGGAAGGAAAAAGGAATATTAGCATCTGGGGAGGGGCAGAGCTGGAGGCTTAGGAGGTGGGGAGGAGCGGAGGCCAGGTCAGTGCCCCCAGACCCTGCTCTGTGCAGGCGCGGCGCTCCAGAAACTCACTGCCTTGGCGTGCAGGGTGGTGGCGGGGGGAGGCCAGACATAGGCGAAGAAGAGGGCATTGGTCTGACCTCCCCCACCCCCATGTTCAAGTGCTGGGAAGGACACAGAGGGTTAGATTCTTTCTAGTAGCAGAAGGAGTTATGGGGGTGGGGGGCTGGGCCGTGACTCCAGCCCATGGCAATCACAGGGGACTTCCTGTAGGAGGCAGCATATAAGCTTGAGCATCGAGGCACAGGGAGGCTTGGAGAGGCGGAGATGGGGAAGGCCGTGCTAGTGTAGGAATCAGCAGGTACAAAGGCCCATCAGGAGCCCCAACTTCCTGCCTGCCTGGCAGCCTTGAGCCCTTCACAGGCTGGGCCCCTGCAGGACTTTCTTGGTCTCTTCCCTTAGGCCTGGTGTCCAGTCCTCCTTTCCGCTTGATTGTGGCCCTCTCCCTGCGACTCCCCCCCTGCAAGGCTGGCTGGGGCTGGGGTCCCTGTTGCTAATACCTCCTCGTCCTCTCTCTGCCACCACCTCCTGGACCTAGTCTGGTACTTGTCTCCTGGTGGCCACTATGGCCAACGGTGAGAGACACTGGAAGCAGCAATGGGGGAGATTAAGAAATCAGACCGAACCCTTCCAATCCCAGGCCCCAGCCCATCGCTCCTGATGTTTGCTACCATGGTAACCGGAAACACATGCTGAGTGGTCACTAGGTGATGGCTGTCACCAAGGCTAATGGAACAAACCGTGGGCCATATCAATAGAGGGCTAAGCGCCAGTCTGAGGGAGGACCCTTCTTCTCTGCTCTCAGGACCTCACCTGCCACATAGGCGTCGCTTTGCAGTGACTAGTGACACGTGGAGGAAAGGACACTCGGGTGGAGTGGGGTCACACCCCTGTGTTCACATCTCGCTTGTCCTCTGCCCAACTGGGTTGTACCCGGAAGTGGGGGGCTGGGACACCTACCCCACTCCGTGTCCCAGAAGGTCTCCTCACTCCACTGGCTCCAGACCCCGTTGTAGCCGCTGGGGGTGGGCCTGACCCTCACTCTCGCCTGGTACCTGGTGAAGGGCTCCAGCAGTGGCAGTGACATGACGTGGGAGTTCTGGAGGGTCTCCGTCTTGCTCTCCTGTGGGCACAGGCGAGTGAGCAGGTCTGCTGAGGCTGAGGCTACTTGCCTGGTGCGGGGTGGGGGGAGGCACAGCGCAAGCCCCTCCCACCTCAGCGCCCCAGCTTTTCTGTCCCGTCAGGCCCCGGCCGCAGCTGCATCCCCAGATCTGAGTCCTCCCTGCCCCCCATGGAGGGCCCTGCCCCAGGGCGCACAGAGGCAGAGCACTCTGGACGGGACGGGGGGCCGCACCCCTGCGACATAGGACAACACCGAGGTCCAGAAATCCTGAGGACACAGCGTGTGCCACCCTCACTCTAAACCGCCCCGCCCACCCCCGAGCTCCTCGGGGACGGCCTGGACCCCGGTTATGGCCTGCCCAGGAATGCAGGGCAGCATCGCTGGACCCCAAGACGGGGTTTGCGAGCCGGGGCCCCACTCCCAGCTCCACCGCTGACCGCGCCCCTCCTGGCTTCCGTTTCCCCGCTTCTGGACCTGAAGGTCTGGGGCGGGCTCTGAGGTTGCCGACTGGGGCTGCGGGGAGCCCGGGTGCTGCACACACAGCCCGGGGGCCGTCTGGGGGTGGGGGCCAGAGAACGAACCCTGGGCCGGGGCCCTGCCTGCTTTATCAGAGCAGCTCCGCTCTCAGCAGCTGCACATCTGCGTTCCAGAGATTTCTCTGAAGAAGAATCCCCTCCTGACTTTTGAAAACCCTTCACCCAGCTGCCTCTCAGCCCTCTGAGTCCCGACGTCTACATCCCCTTGGCACGTCAGGGTCCCATCGTCAATCTGGGCCATGTCACATCACCCCTGTGAACTTTAGCACCTCCGCCAAGGTATAGGACAAGGACCAACTGACCACACAGGGCCGCGACCGCGAAGTTTCAGCGGCTTCCTCTGACCGGTCACCTGCTGGGAGCCAGGCCCCTGGCAGGTCGGCGCCCCCCTGTGTATTTTCTCCCATCCCCCCTACCCCAATCCAAGCCCCTTCCCGGGCATAGGCCCTCACCTTCCATGAGTCTGCGTCTTTCTTGTACTGGATCTGGAAGGTGTGACCTATGTGTTTGTAAAGCATCTCCTCTGTTGTCCAGGACAGGGCGTAGCCGTCTCTGCTCTTGGTCACATTGAGGGTCGGGGGAGCCATCTGGACTGGAGGGAGGGAAACCTTTAGGGAACGCTGTTCCTAGCATTCCTCCGATGGAACGTTCTTTTCATCCCATGCTCGTCACAGGCGCTCTCTCTCCCGGTCCACCCCTTCTTGGGGTCCTTGCACCTCACTTTGCCACACTATCCACTTTGATCTGAGTGGCCCTCCTCTTGGGAGATGCTGAGATAGGCTCGTTTTGTAGGGAGGTGGGCCAAAGCACGGGCTACGCCCAGCATTTACGTAAAAATAGAAACACTATTTATTCGTCCTAGTCTAGAGAATTAACTATGTCGCAGGTATCGTCACACATGCTCAGTCTGCGCGAATCTCTCACTCGATTCTAACAGCAACCCAACGTGGTAGGTACTATTAACTCGTCACACTTCACAGACGGGGAAACTGAGCCCCGGAACGATTAGGTAACTTGCCAAGGCCAGGCAGCTAACGAGTGGTGGAGAAAAAGAGGACAACCTGGCGTCCCCGGAGTGAGTGGTAGATTCCAACCCGGGTGAGCAAGACAGATTGGCTGTGGCCTCCCCCCCACACTGAAGCCTGGATGGAAGAGCCTGGGTCCTCAGGAAGCAACACAGGAGGCTCCTTTGCATGGGATTCTTGCTGCATAAGAGGAGTCGTGGATATTGACCCGCAAGGAGCTACCATTTATTTGCGCATGTTCTAGCCCCCGATTGAAGAAATAACTCACAGCTCTACTATTTCGAAGCCTGAAAATATCAGTGCGCGGAGGACTTTGGAAATCGGAGAGCGAAAAACCCAATCCGGGGACGAAAGGGAGAGTCTGGGGTGGGGGGGAGGCCTAGGGGAGTACAGTTGGCAGAAGGGGCTTCAGAGGAGCTGCGGGGTTGGACAGGAACGCAGAGCTCAAGAAATCGGAGAAAACAGGCTTTAGAGATGTGCTCCTGGGGAGTATCAGTGGAACCTTCCTTCGTGTTATTTGCCCTTGTCATTGCGGTGTCCTTGCTTCTTGAGAACGTCAAGGTTAGAATGACTTTTGTTCACTTGGCTCGCTGGGCCGCGTTTGGAGGACAGTGACCAACGTGAAGACTGGGCCACAGGGAGTCCTGAGTTTGCGTGGGTTACGTGACGAGACGGGACTGTGGCAAGGGGGCCTGCACGCAAGGCTGGGGGCGAACTCACTGTGGTCTGAGCTCTTTATGAACTTCTCCTCCTCCTTCACCCGAACAGAGATGGCGTACTGGCTGTGGTTCCTGGGGTCAGGCACGGGAATCCGGCATCGGTGCTGGACCAAGAGGCCGGGGAGCTGTTCCTTCAGCACCGGGGAGCACTCCTCCTCCCTGAGGATCACGGTGCAGGTGAGGGCGAGGGAGGCAGAGGCCACGGGAGGGAGGCAACCTCGGGATGAGCCATGGCTTCCACTGGGAAATCCCAGGGTCAGGGGGAGGTCTGAAGGACACAGGTGGTGACGAGGGGAGGGAAGGGTGGGTGGGGGTGGGGAGGAGAGGACGCTCACCTTGCACTGGCGCTGGGCTTGTAGAAGAGGGTGAAGGAGACTGAGCTGGCCACCTCGGACCACACTTCCCAGGAGCAGCTGAGCACGGCGGCCCCATCGAACAAGCACTGGAGGTTCTGGGGCTGGGCCTTGTCCCCTGGGAAGGGAGACACTTCCTTTTATCCTCCCCTCCTCCATTCCTTCCTTCGCTCTCAGTGGGACCTACCGTGAGCCTCATCTCAGAGAGATCGTGGGGCTTTGGGACCAGAAAAACTAGGGCTTAGCATTAGCCTGAACCTGCCCGAGGTGTGTCCGCAGGTCAGAGAGTGAATTCTGCGAACCCTCTTACCCCCTTGTGCACCCTGGGGAGAGCGTCTGGTTTCAGTGTTGGTGGTGGGGGGGGGGGGGGGGGGGGAGACGCAACACGATGATGTTGACTTGTCCACACCCAGCATAGCGCTCACGGAAACACAGCTGCTCAGAATGCCACGGCCACCGCCCGTGACGCTTATCCCTGTAACGTGGGCACAGGAAGCGCGCAGAAGAGGCTGGGGCCCAGCCGTGGGTGGGACGCAGCCACTGTGTCTGGAGAGCCACAGTAGGGATGGGGTCCGCCCTGGGTATCGATCCTGAACACAGGCTACAGAAGATCTGTGGAATCCCGCAAAACGGACCCCTGGACTCTTTCTTTCCGGAAGCTGAATGAGCCGCCCTCCCCTCAGGAGGCCATTGCCCCAATTTTGGCTTTGTTACCTGTCTGGGAGTGCCAGAGAACCTCCAGGCTCCACTGACTGGGCCGCCCCGAGAGCCCTGAGCTGGGGGCCAGGCGGGCGCGCACTCGGGCCACATAGGTGCTGCTGGGAAGGAGGTGCTCTGGCCCCAGGACAGCCTGGGAGGAGTTGCAGTAGAGGGTAGGGGCATCCTGCGGGGAGGGAGGGGTTAATGGAACAGGTGCCAGCTGGGCCAGGTCCCTCGGCTGGGGCAGAGCCGGCCATGGCCCCTACCTCCCAGGAGTCCTGAAGCCGCTTGTAGACCACCTCGTACTCCAGGTTTGACAGCCAGTGGCTCTGGGAACCCGGAGGGGCCACCCTCCAGGTCAGCAGGAAACGGTCCCCGACAGCGGTGATCTGGAGGTCCTTGGGTGCAGGGGCCTGCACTGGAGGAAGGGGCGGTCAAGGGCTCAGAAGGGGCTGGATAACTATAGGGCGGCACGTTTTGTGTGGGCGGACTGGGGCCCCAGGCTGAGTGCCGTCCTACCCGCTGAGCAGCCTTGGACAAGACCCCTTTCCTCTGTGGGCCTCAGGCCCTTCACCTGCCAAACTGTGGGGGTTCACTGTGAACATGAATGAAAGCCGCGCAGATTTCTGGGCGTATATCACACAAGCTCCGTGAAAGGTGCTGCCAGTGAAGTTCCTCCGAATGGAGCCCACCTCGCGGCCTGTTCGGCCCCTTCCCAGCAGAGGGCGCTGTGGCTCACGTTACTCCCCGCGATGCTGTCCATCCTCTTCCTCTTTCCACCTGCCCAGGATCCTGCTCCTCTCAGAGCCCAGCATAAATGTCTCCTTTTCTAGAACTTTCTTGGATGCCCCCATCCCCTTGGGCAGAATCCCTTGCCCCTCTTCCTGTCTCACCACAGCCCGTTGTATGGGCCTTAGAGCCCTGGGGCATTTATGTGTCTCCTTTTCTGCCTTTCCAAGTAGTCAGGAGCTTATGGGTGGCCGGGTTCGGCCCTCCACACCCTTCCCTACCCCCATGGTCTGCGATTAGTGGTTCAGTGAATTTGGGGGACAAAGTGAATGAAGGATGAATGAATCCACGAATAAATACATGTAGGCAACCTTCACAGACTTTTCAAGAAGGCATTCCGTCAACCAACAGCAAACGTGTGTCTGTTGGGCGAGCATAGTCGTTAACGAATGGCACGGCTCCCGCCTTCCCGAAGCTTCTGTGTCTGAATGCTGAGGGATGACCTTGAAACACAGTCCAATGAGTCCGACCGGGACGTGGCATGTGAGAGCATGTCCGAGCTGGAGCCTCTAGAAAATCTTAAGCCCCGAGTGGCAGATCTCTCCGCAGCCACAGCAGACATCACTAATCAATCACTGCACTCCTAGCCCCTGAGCCCCCCGGGGAGTGGGAATCCCTTTCAGCACAGAGCTCTAGAAGCTGCTCCCAACTGAAACGACTGGGAGCCTGAGCGCAAACCTGTTCCTCCAACCTGAGAGATCGTAGTCCACTAGCTCATTTCGCAGATGGAGAAACGGACAGAGGAAGGAAAATACCCCAGATCTCCACTCGTGGGAGCCTCAGAGCAGCTCCAACGCACACACCTGTTCCTCCTCAGCACCAGAAGCTTCCCTGATCCATTGCCAAAATGGCTTGGGGCTGGAGCTGAGCTCCCTGCTGAACACAGGCTCTAGGAGACAAACGTCACACTCCCCTCCCCGTTTCTAAGTTGTCCCCATGTCCAGCATATCACCTTCCCTGTGACCAGGCCATATGCTTCACAGGGGCAGGGACACTGACCGGCTTGTTCACTGCTGTGCTGGTGGATGTGGGTGCTCAGTGAGGGAGCAGATGAACGAGTGAAGGGCACGTGTGTCCTAAGTATGATTTGTATGCCCCCCCTGCCCCCCGCTCCCATGCCCTGGCCGCGTTCCAGTAGCATGCTCGTCATTTCTCCGTGGGACGAGTGCCTCAGGTTGCATTCCGGGCCCCAGCCTCCTGCCGCCTCCTGCCCCCTGCCGTCTACCCTGTGCGTCACCCACCTCGGGCATCCTCACATCTGATCAAGTCATGCGCCTTCGATGGCTCTCCATCACCTAGACGTTGGCCCCTAAGCCCCTTTGCAGGGCCCAGCAGCGTCCTCAGGTCAGGCCCCTGCCTGCACCTGCCCCTCTCCGTCTTCCTCACGCTGTCTGGCCCTTTTGATGGTGATGCTTCTGGGCTACAGTTTCTCGCGGTTGCCCCAACCCGCCTTGCCCTCCCCGGTCTCCCAGCCTTGGCACACGCTGTTTCCTCTAGGAATGTTCTTCCTGCTCTGTCCTCTTACCCACCCTTCAGCTCTCCCTGCCAAGCTCTTTCCACCCCGCCCCGGGGAAGCCTGTCCTGACCCCCCGGCCCCCAGGCTCCTTGCCCACTGCCCCTCAGCATGTGGCACACGGCACCCACTTCTGGTTCAACCTCCGGTGTTTCCTGGCCCCTCAACCTGCATGCTCTGAGCCCCACGGGGATGGGGCCCTTTCTCATCCATCAAACACATTTAGAGACACTGTTGCAAATGAATCGGCCATGGCCTAACCAATCCCCTCCTCCGGGCAACGGCTTTGTGCTGCCGTCATGAGAACAGGCAGGAAGCGAAGGCGGGAGTCCCCTCTCCATGTGACGCTTGCACCTACAGTGGGGCCTGCCCAGCGTTCGGGACCCCGGATGCTAAAGTCACACACGTGTATCTGAGAGGCCTTGGGCAAGTTCCTGTTCTCCGAGCCTCGGTTTCAACATCAGTGACATGGGGTGAAAAAGAAAACAGGGGTGCGCGACACCACCCGTCGTCGTAATGGTTACGTAATATTGGGCAGTGTTTCCTAAAAGCCAGCCATCCGTAGGGTTCTTACCGCATCAATTTCAACTTTAAAAGGTGATCCCCTCGAACATCTCTCGTGTAGGTTCATTGTGAGCACAGATAAAAATTGAATTAATGAGGCTGAAGTGTTGGTTATATTTCTGGGTGACACACAGTCGAACGAAGCCTAGCTAGGTCATCGACACCCACCCAGGACCATTGGCTTTTTGGGGCCGATGTGGACACGCGGGCCGCACTCGCTGGAAGCCACTCAGGGAGGGCAGGGAGGTGATGACCTCCATCTCCAGGGCAGGAAACCCTGGGCAGAGCTGATCCATCACTGGCTTGACTGCTCAGGGCTGGCGCTTTGGAAAAGTCATGTGGCCTCTCTGGGCTTTAACTGCCTCATCTATAAAATGGGTTGTTGCAGACGTTGGATGAGGCTATATCGGTGATGGGTGTTCTCAAGTTAGGAAGTTTCTACCCGAATAGGGAGGCTGGTTCTCCTAGAAGGGCAGCCTTCACTGCTGGAAGGCAGTATCTTGGCGGGTGCTGCAGCAGTCAGGGCCCAGGGAGGTGCCACCGGCCGGGGGCTCCGCCCCTTGGACCTGCTCCAATGCCTCGGTTGTCGGGAGGCCGCACCCTCCTCTCTCAAGAGACCAGAGCCACCCCCTTCCCCCCCTTGAAGACTCTGGCTTCCTGGCCCTTCTGCCGTCTCGCCACCCCCGGGGTCCACTGTCCTCCTGGGACCACCGCCATCCGGGAACCCCAGAACTTACCATTCTGGTCCAGAGTCACGGTGAGCTGGGCGCCCAGAGGCCTGTCTGGTCGGAATGAGAAGTAGTCTTTGTCGGCGAGGACAAAAATCTTGTAGGGAATGACACATCTTCTGGGCACGCAGCCGGCACAGGGGTGGTCCAACGACAAGCCCGTGTCATTACTGAGATCACAGGACACTGGCACTGGAGGGTTCCTGCCAGCAGAGAACATGGTGAGCCCAGAGTGAAGAAGCATCATGCGTTCAACAAAGGTCCTGAGCGGTCACCATGTGCGAGGCTCTGTCCGGGGCCAGGGTGCTGCCATCCTGGTGGAGGGGGACACGCACGGAAGAACTGGATAAAATACGTCACGTGTCAGATGGAGCAAACTTTACACGGACAGATACAGCAGGGAGATACGGAAGCCAGAAGGGGTGGGGTGGGGGTGGGGGTGCAATCTGAAACAGGGGAGACAGGGAAGGCCTCGTGGCAAAGGCGACTTTTGGGCAGAGACTTGAAGGAAGTCAGGGAGGGAGCCATGCAAATGGGCTTTACCTGAAAGACGAGTTCAGGTAAAGGGAACAACTGGTGCAAAGGCCCTGGGGCAGGCACGGGCTTGGAGTGTTGTATGATTAAAAAAAAATTTTTTTTTACATTTTTATTTATTTTTGAGAGACGGAGACGGCACAAGTGGGGGAGGGGCAGAGAGAAGAGGAGACACAGAATCGGAAGCAGGCTCCA